TAAAGTGGCCTGTTCTGGTCCCCCTAAATTTGCTTATTCTTAACACACGGAGCGTAGCATGCTTTGTTTCCATTGGACAGTTTCAAGCTTCCCATGAGTCATGCTTCTCACATCCACATGCTAATCATACATATCTTTGTCAGCTGAGAACTTGTCTTTCCAAACTGGCACCATCAGTGACCAGACTTCCGGGTGGTTTTGGCCTGACTGCTTCAGGCATCCCCAGGTCTACTCAGTTTTGACAATCCAGATCTCTCAAGTTTGACCAAGTTCCCCATAGCTAGAGAAATGTTTCCAGCTTAGGTGGGTCTTAGCATCTGGCACCCAAACTTGTTGAAAAGTTTCAGCTTTGCCTGTGCTATTGTTTTGGCCACAAGACAGAAACCATTTGCAACTACCTTCTTCTGAGTTTGATCCCAGGTCCCTTCTCCTATACAGGCTGGTGTCCCTCATAACACGCAGAGTCCCACATGCCCTCACCCCACTGCAGATTACTCTTAGTTCCCCTGCCCCTTTTGGCCTCATCAGCTAGGGAGACCCTACCAGGAGTTCCAGGTCCCATCAGTGTCTCTCCCAAGGTTACTGGAGTACAGAGACCAGCAAAGTGGTAACCCTTTTGACGCTTGATGGCCATTAGACAACTGTGCCCTCTCTGTGTCCCTCCACCCCACCAATGTTGGTTTGTCTGGGCACACTTAGCTCAAACACCCCATACTTACCACCACATGAAAGGGGCTGTTGGGGATATGCTCGCCTCCGAAACGGATGGTGATGACATATTTGCCAGGCTCAGGAGCTGTGTAATAGATGTCAAAGGTCCCATCATGGTTCTCCACCACGTCTACATCCAGCTCAGCCCCATCGGGCGTGGAAACCTTGCACGTCACTTTGCCCTTCCCAGCTGCCTTGGCATCGACCGTGATCACCGTCTCCTCCCCAATCTGGATGGTGGGACCAAGACATGCTCCTACAGAGAAATGGAGGACAATTGTCACATAATGCGGCTGAGGATCCAGCCAGGGCCAGGGGCCACACCAGACCATTTAGGTAGGGTTAGTTCAGAGGGGGAATGAAAGAAACGCTGGAGTGCATATCAAGTCAGAAGTCACAGAAAATCGCCCTGTTCCAGCTCGGCCAATGGCTCTGCCCAGCAGGTGGAGTTAAGTTTAAAATTGGGAATAATGGGAACCGCAGTCTAAAATAAATAGAGAACATCCAATTTGTACAGACTGTGGACCTGAAGGACAGATGGATGAAAAAGAAAACTCCAAAATGATTCAATGGGCATCTAGAAGAGGGAGAAAGGGAGATTCAAGAAAGGGGTCCAAACTAGGGTGGTAAAACCATAAAATCATAGGATTGGAAAAGGACCTCATAAAGGTCTTCTACACCAACCAAGTGGCCTTCCAGCCTTTATTTGGAAACCTCCAGTGATGAAGACCCTACAACTCCAGGAGGAAGTCTGGAACCCGTTCTTTGCACGGAGAAGCTCCCGGGCTTCGTTGCTTCCCAGGAACAGTGAGATCCAAAGAGTTGGGGGCAGGCTTAGGGTATGATGGGACAATAGGCGCATGACAGTTTCTTGCTTACCCAGTCCGTGGCCTCCGATGGACACTGCAAACAGAGAGATGGAAACAACAGTGAGCATCCTTGTTGGGAGGTGCTCTCACCCAAGAAAGGCTCAAAAGAAGAGGGGGGCCCCCAGGTGTGGGGGACAACCGCCTACCTGTCACCAGGCACTTGCTGGCATCCCCAGCAGGCAGAGCATGGATGCGGAAAGGCGAGTAGGGGATTTCATCGCCTCCGTATTTGATGGTGATGGTGTAGCGGCCCGTCATGTCCGGAACATAGGAGACCGTGTAGGTCCCATCCCGGTTGTCCCGAATGTTGGCTTTCTTGGGCTTGCCCTCGGGGTCCTGGGGAGAAAGACAGGCAGAGGGTCTGGTCAAGAGCCATCCTCAGGCTGTGTCCAAAGCAACAGTGTGGGTCTCCTTCAATCAAAACCTTTGGCCAAGGAATCGGGGGGAGATGGGGGCCTGCAAATGAACCTCTGCCTCCAGAGGGCCAAAAGGTGGGTGGGGAGATTCTGCTCCATTTTCAATGGCAGGGCTTGTGCGGAGCAAAGAGAAAAGAGTATCCCTGAGCATATACAAAACGTCTTTCTCACTCGTCGGCAAACGCAACCAGCGAATAGGAGGGCCAGGTGCACAGGTCGGAAATAAAAGACCTTTGCAGTAACAGCGGACAGGTGCCCCCTGCGCTTCCTGTCAAGGAAGAATTCCTCTGAGTCTGTTCTGACGCCCCAGTGGGAGAAGGAGACATAGGATTTGAACCCTGGTCCAGCTATATACGTGGTCTGAGGCTTACAGTTTGCAGTAGCCAATTCCTGCATAACGAGGGGCCTTTTTAGCACATGAAATTAAAAGCTTTTTTATCAGAAATCATGCTTGAATCTCTGGAGTATCATCCCGCTGGAGCGAAGCCTGAGGCCACCACTGTTCGGCAGGTGAGTAAAAGATCAGAGGCACTGACTCGCAGGGAAACACACTCCAGACTCCTCCTCGTAAGAATCCAGCAACGAATGTCCCGCATAACCCCAAACACAACCGCTGTGTTCCCCTAACATTTTTCCAAGCCAGCTTGATGTGATGACTTGGTTCATGCAACAGGCCGAGACGGGGGCGGGCGTTCGATTTGGTCCAGCGCGTGGTGCGAATTCAGCGGCTGGTCCCAACATTGTGCTAACGTGGCCTGCTTGCTTCTTGCTTAGTGTGAAGCGACAGCCAGGCAGCCACTGACGCTTATAAGCCATAGTATGTGGCTTGGAACAACCACTGTCTCAAGACTTTAAGAAACCATGCCGTCACTTACCAAGATCTGTACCGTGAGCAGCCCCTCCCCAGCATCACGGGCATCGATGGTGAACTCAACAGGCAGGCTGGCAGGGATGCCCGAGGCGTTGAGACCAGGCCCGCTGGCTCGCACTTTGCTGGCATCGTGGGCAGGAAGGACCCGGATCTTAAAGGGGCTGAAAGAGGCAGAAGCTGGGAGATCAGAGAGGGTCTGGCCGGCCCTCCCTGCACCCAGGATCCCCTTTCAGTCGGGGGGACTCGTCTCTGCCCAGCAAGGAGGTGCTGTGAGCGAGGGGCTCTGCCCAGCAAGTCTCCTCTTGAAAGACCCGAAAGGTGCCTGGACCTTCCAGCTCCAGGGCTGCATTTGGACAACGTGCTTCTCCTGGCTATGAGCATTTTGGTTTCACGCAAGAACCAAACCACAAATTCATGAAACAGGCTGGGGGTGCATGAGAGCCTCAAGCACAAATCAACTTCCCAAGGTCAACACTAACGCACCTTAACATATTGAGCAAACCCAGCTGTTAAGTTGTCACAGCCCCAGTTGAGCGTGTTGTCTGAACACAACTAATGCTACACTGGCCAGAAACATGGTTCTAGGCTGGGAGCAAGGACAGAGACACTCTGCATGAGGACAGGGGACCAGCGGTTCGACGGATTCCTGGTTCCCCACTGCAAGATTGGTCAGACTACAACTCCCATCCCTGATTCACTGGGCCACAGTGGCTGGGAATGCTGGAGATTGTAGTCTGGTTCACCCAGAGGGCAATGGGCTGGACAATTCTAGAACAGACCAGGAGTCCAACAGACGTAACACAAAAGACCGTTTTATAAATACAGACAGGGGAACTTTGGCACTTCTTCCCTGCCACAGGAGCTTTGAGCCCTGGCCAGACTGTGTTCCACCCCGGGGGATTTGCTCCTCCCCCACTCCCAAAACCTTGGCTGCTCTCCGTCGCTCTCCCCAGCAGTGGGCCAGAGGGTGGGCTTGGAGCCAGGTTCACAGAATAACCATCCTATGCGTGGGGAGAATGATGGAGAGCAGCCAAATTGCTGGACAGGATGGACATGTGCGGCCAGGACACAGAGTTCTCCTGTGGGCCGGGAGGTGGGGCTGGGGAGAGTGACAGACACAGCTGAGCAACTCGCTGTGCTGCTGAGCCTTGAGCACGGGGGCGTCAAGAGGAGGGAGCTGGCATCTATGATGGGGGCCCTCCAACGATAGAAGGGGAAGCAGCCAGGACCCTCTAGCCCAAGCCCCCCAAGAGTCGGCCCACATGGCTCACCTGCGGGGCACCTCTTGCCCAGCGTATTTGACAGAGATGGTGTACGGCCCGTCTGTGGCCGGTGTGTATTTCACTGCATGAGTGCCGTCTCCGTTGTCACGCACCTCCACTGGTTCAGCCACGCCTGGACAGAGAAGAACGAGGAGCAAAGGAATAGAAGGCATCTAAGGTGGGCTCAAGTCAACTCAAGTTTCCAGCTTGGGCAGGACGGGCCCAGCAGGTCCTTCAGACTCTCCACAAGAGGGGAAGCCAAGAGCCACCACCCTGGCATTTAGCCGCTCACACCAGACTTGGCCACCAAGGCGGAAACAACGCTCCACTCTCCTCCTCCAGGATCCAGGCATAGACCTCTGCCCTTTGCTACCCTCCACATGCCACAGCACACGGCCAGGCAAGCCACATTGAGGCAATTCTTCCCAACTTCCTGGTGCTGAAATGTACCATCCTATAATGCTGCCTTAATCAACACTCCCCCCAAATCTCCATACCTGAGGGTCCCAACACCTTCACCTCGAGGGGGGCCAGCCCAGCCTTGCTGCAGTCGACTGTGAAGGTCTGGGGAACACGCGCTCTCACGCCGGCCCCCAGCCCGGGCCCCGAGCACTTCACTTTGCTGGGATCGACCACATCTTTGACAGGAACACGGAAGGGGCTCCCTGAGAAGAGAGATCAACTATCAGTCCCCCACAGACGGATCACCCTTTTGGCACCTGGACATCTGGGTGCACATCCGGGTTTCCACTCAGGAAGCCATGGAGCTGAATGCCTGGAATGGCATCAAAGGGGAGCGTTCCCAGGCAAAAGCATTCTCACATGCGCAACTGTCAAGAATAGGGTTATCAAGTAAGGCAGGGTTTCCCAACCTGATCAACTTCAAGATGTGTGGACTTCAACTCCCAGAATTCCCCAGCCAGCCATGCTGGGGGGAATTCCGGGAGTTGAATCCACACATCTTGAAGTTGATCAGGTTGGGAAACCCTGAAGTAAGGTAACCCACAGAGAAAGAGAGCTAGATCAGCAGGGAACAGGGGCTACTCCAACCAGCCCCCACTCTTCCCCTGGAGGATGAAGAGCCACAGAGCTTTCTTCCTCCAGATTTGGAGGAAAGGAGCTTGCGCAGAAGAGTTCCCAGATCTAGAACAACGTCCTTCCCCCCCCCCATCTTTGGGCATCCCTTTCCTCAACCATCCTCTCCACCCACCTGGGATGGGGCGTCCACCAAAGGTGATGTTGACATCGTAGTCCCCTGGCGTGAAGGGGATGTATTCCACACTGCAGCTGCCATCCTTGTTGTCCTTGCACGACATTTTGGCCTCCGAGGGGCCTTCGATGGCCAAGCCGAGACCACCGGTCCCTGCGCCCCTGTCAAGGAAACAGACCCCTTAGAGAACCCCGCCAAAAAACAGGGCCTGCAGCAAAAGGAACCAACGGATCCAACATCTCTACTGGAAGTCCTTCTGTCCAGCATAAAACCATCGGATGGATTAAAATCGTTGGATGGATTAAAACAAGAGCAAAATTATGAAGCAGATGAAACGCACTAGGGTTGCGTGCGGAAGACATCAGAGCAGAGTTTCTCAACCTTGGCCACTTTAAGAGGGATGGACTTCAATTTCCAGAATTCCCCAGCCAGCCATGCTGGCTGGGG